CTGAAGTCACGACTGCTAAACACTGATTTCATGCACAAAGTATTACAGTATGACATATGCATTCTGTGTTTCACCGAGACCAAAACATGTGATGCTGACGATATAAATATACCCTGATTCTCTATCTTTATGAATAACAGAAAGAATGATTATTACTGCAGGACATCAGGCGGCATCATAGTCGCTGTTCGTCAGCCTATTGAGAAACATGTGCATGTATTAGACAAATCAAACGACACAATAACATGGTGTCTGCTCTCAAAAGACCTACTCCCGGTAGATAATGCTGCATATCTTGGATGTGTCTACATACCCCCTGAGAACAGTCGATACGCCTCACCTGACCACTTTCTTACTCTTGAGGATGATATAATCAACGTCTCTACTCATTCTGACTATATTTGCGTAACGGGTGACTTTAATGCAAGAAAGGATTTCGTAACGAAAGACAATATTGACTATTATACTCGAGTATTCAAGTACTTGAAAATCTAAATATCTCACTTGACCGTGCTGCAACGGAAAAATCGTCTAACAACTACGGGAGGAAGCTGTTAGACTTATTACTTACTTACTTACTTACTTGGAGATTTAACGTGCACTTTCCGACTGATGCGTATTTCGCACACGGGCCCGGCCAGGCCATTTAATGTGTTAGACTTATTTAAGAATACTGGAATTTATATCGTTAATGGCCGTCTCGGCTATGATAAGGAACAGGGGATAGATTGTGCAATTACTCGTGACGAAATCCTTTCTGCAGTCAATGGTCTTAAAACCAACAAAGCCTGTGGATTAGATAACATATGTAATGAGTACATCAAAGCTTCTATTCACCTCATGTTGGCTGTTTATGTAACATTGTTTAACTAATCCCTGACAATGGTGTTTTACCTGAAACCTAGCTTGTTGGCATGATTAGGCCCATTCACAAAAACAAAGGCGATCCTGGGGATCCAGATAGCTTTAGGGGCACATCAATTATAAGTTGCTTGGGTGAAGATTTCACCTCCATTTTGAATAATCGACTACAAGCTTACCACGTTGACCTAATTGGCAAAGCCCAAGCCGGGTTCAGGAAAAACTACTCAACTACTGATAATATATATCAGTATATATATATACATCAATATATATATATATATATATATATATATATATATATATATATATATATATATCAAAAGCACTCGTAGATGTATACTTAAACCGTAATAAGAGGCTGTATTGTGTTTTTGTTGATTTTAGTAAGGCCTTCGATACGGTTTGGCGTTGTGGCCTATGGTACAAAATGATTCAAAGTAATATCACTGGTAAATGCTTTAATGTTATCAATAACATGTACAAACACATAAAATCATGTGTTTCTCTTTGCCCTTTATCTAAATGACCTTGAGTCTTTTTTGTCAGATAACGGCGTTATTGGGCTTGAAAAAGTAAATGATTATGTTCTAAAAGAAATTGGAAGTTTTATCAAGCTATTCGTAATTCATTACGCGGATGATACAGTCCTAATGTCCGAGACACCTTCCGACCTGAAACTATGTTTAAACGTATTTGAAAACTCTTGTAATCACTGGAAACTCAAGGTAAACACTGCTAAAAAAAAAATTGTAGCTTTTGCTAAACGATCTTTTAAAATTGCCCGTACATTTAGACTTCAAGATACGATTCTACTTATCGAAAAACAATTATGTCTTTCTGGGCATATTAATTTCAAGCAACGGTCGATTTTGTAAAGCCATTAAACGGTTATCTGACCAATCTTCCAGAGCAATGTTCGCTATTTTTAGAAAAATACGAGTATTAGAAGTACCAAATGACTGTCAACTTAAACTGTTTGACTATCTTGTTCAACCTCTATTGTTGTATGGATCCTAAGTTTGGGTCTTCGAAAATACTGTTATTCTGGAACGTGTTCATTTAAGATATTGTAAATATATTTTGAAGGTTAAGCAAACTACCCCTGATTTCATGGTGTACGGGGAATTAGGGAGATACCCATTAAACATCCATGTTAAGTTAAGAATGGTATCATATTGGTGTAAATTAGTTCTATCAGAAACCAAATTGTCAGGTATAATGTACAAACTTATGTTCAAACTCCAAATTGCCCACCCAGAGTTTAAGTTCCCACTTGTAAACGGAATCCAACGTATTTTACAAAGTACAGGTCTGAATCACATTTGGTTGTCTCAGGAATTTCCCAGTGTACAACGAATAAAGGCTAACGTCAAAACTGTCCTTATAGATCAATTTTTACAAAGCTGGGGGAGTAGTAAAGTAAATTCCTCAAAAGGACACTATTATAATCTGTATAAAGATATCCTCTCAGTAGAAGACTACTTATTGCATTTACCTCATAATTTACGCAAACTTACCCAGCTCAAAGTCAGAAATCAAAAGTGTCACCAAAACAAAAAATCAACAAAAAATGGCAAAATATATACCAAAACTCAAATAGCCAAACCAGGAGAGTACTAAAAAAAACCTAACTAAACTAAAAATACTACACCCATCCAAAAACATCCACAGAATAATTACTAAACTACAAACAGGCCACACCAAACTAAATAATCACCGTTAAATAGCTAATGTACACACAACAGGAAACTGCCCACATTGCTAACAACAAGAAACACCAGAACACGTACCCATTCACTGCACACACTACCAAACACATCGAACAACACTACAGACCACCCTAAATCTTAAAACCGCACTTACACTAGAATCATTCCTAAATCCAAATTTTTTTATAGAAAAGTTTAAAGCCTTAGGCATATACCTAATTAAAACATGACCTATTAGTCGCATTCAAACCCCAAATAAAATATTAAAACCAAAACTACCTTACCTAACAACCACCCAACACACACAGCTCCCTTAGTTCGTCCTCCATCCACTCTTGGCATTTATTCCAAATCTCGAAATTTCAAAATTACTATAAAAGCAAACCTTAAAGCCCCCTTCCTGGGTTGCACAAACTCACCTTTCCCCTTTTCGGAAACACATTAAATGGCCTGGCCGGGCCCGTGTGCGACATACGCTTGCAGTCGGAAAGCGCACGCCAGAGAGAGAGAGAGAGAGAGAGAGAGAGAGAGAGAGAGAGAGAGAGAGAGAGAGAGAGAGAGAGAGAGAGAGAGAGAGAGAGAGAGAGAGAGAGAGAGAGAGAGAGAGAGAGAGAGAGAGAGAGAGAGAGAGAGAGAGAGAGAGAGAGAGTTAATGTTTATTATAGTGTCACATGTTATATACACTTCATACTAAAACACGTACACGAACAGTAAAATATAACATCCGACCAGGTATGGTCTACGAGACACTTAGACATATAAGCAAATTATAACGTCATGATCTGGGTAAGGTAAAATAAGACATATACTAACACAATGTTGGGTTGGGTTATGAACACGCACGCTCGCACGCACACGCACACACACACGCCAAAATCTTAATCTCCAATATAAGTAAGTAAGTAAGTACGTACTTACTGTAGCATTACAATCTGAAATTGCTATCAGAGAGAGTAATAATTCGCAATCATGGAATTTCGTAGAAACCGAAAACCTCGACAATGGGATTGTTTCGTTGTGGAAGAGAAATCCACCAGGACAATCAGCAACCCTTGCCGGGTGCGCAACCGTGGTTGTCGTAAGGGCGTGTTTTGTGAGCAGTGCAAGGCGTGGCACCACATTAATTGTGAGGGACTCACAGATAAAAAGTCTGAAGAATTGTCTGCCAGCAATGGGGAGTATTGCTGAAAATCGTGCAGATTCAACTACAGTGCTGTACTGGACAAACTTAAGGAAGCTACATCCCTCGGTAAGTTAAACCCCCGACGCTTTGCACTTTTTTGTTGTTGATTTAGATAGTTCGTTTTAATTAAACATCTTTGTGCAGAACAATAATAATATATAACACTATGCAAGATCTACACTCTACTAAGTTTTTAATTTAGATGTTAGTTTTGGAATACAGTTTTACATGGAAAGTATTTTATGACATTGTCGGAGAGAATCAAGCAATACGCAATTCATCAAACCACCAATTTGTTATAATAACATTAATTAATGGTGTCGGTTAATCCAATTACTGCCACTACTCACTACTTAGTATATAGTATATACTAACCCATCTGCAATCGCCTAAACTTGCGTTTTTTTTTGTTATTTTAAAGGTATTGACAGTCTCACCACGGAAGTCCAAGCCCTGGTTTCCAATTTGCCAGAACTGACTGTAAATAACAAACCGAAAAGCGTGACCACAAGTTCTATTTATGATATTGCTGCGTCAAGTATTCAACAGTACGGGGGTAAGATGCCGGAGAGTCCACTGAAGGTGACAGGAAACGGGAACTGTCTGTTCAACGCTGTCAGTATTGGTGTCTTTGGGTCAGAAATCAGAGCCATAGACCTACGAGTGAGGACATTCATCTCTCACTCCAAGTAATGATGAGCTGTCCCTACAGGATTCATCACCAAGTGTCCGTGGTTCCCTATCCAACAGTGGAAGGTTCATGGACGTACCGGAGTTGTGTCAGACAATAATCAATGCAAAAAACATTCAGTCTGAGATTCCTGTAGGAATAAAAGAAAACGAAACTTTATCTGTGACAACTCTCAGAATATATCCCGCAGATCGATGTCCAGTCGAAGTAAATTTGTAGATGATTGTGATGTGTGGGGAAAGGGGTCTACAAAGAAACATTTTTATCATTTTGTCAATGGCAAATTTACATACCAAAAGCAAAAGGAAGGAATGTATTGTGAAATGAAAAAAAGTATGAGAGTACCGATGGCAATACAGCCGCCAAATAATTGTTAAACGCTAATATAACAAACTGAAACGATGTGCTGACCATCATAAGCGGGTGACCTGGATTGAGCAGTTCCCCGCCGGCCGCACTCCAGTTCACCCGCAAGTAGCTATTGTCGAATACACTGGCAAGTTTCCCGAGGTAGGCCTACTTCTTGTGTGTAAGGGTTGCAAATCTCTGAAATAATTTTGTCAAGAATGAAATATAAATCTAAATATTCTAAATAGTAGTCTTCCAGTCAATAACTGCTCAAATGCGCTTCTGTTTCCCCCCGATCAGACGGTGTGTATGCGTTCATTTTCGTCAGTCTGAACTCCCTGGGAATTATAGAATCATTATAGAACAATGTTGATATGCTAAGATGAAATCATTCAAGAGGTGCATGAGTCGCCATTCCGCTTATCCCGGAACGTCGGGCTGCTCATGAATGATTCGTTCCGAGGTTTTGATCGATCTGGCCCGACATTGTAAACACAAGCCAGCAAATCAATACCATGGAGGCAAGCATGCACAATGTTTACGAAAGTTAATCTGAACATATATTTCTCACTCGGACCCACTAATAATTCTTATGATGTAATTCAATTACCTTGGCAAAATGGGAAGCGGGTTATTTTCGTAACCAGGGCAGTTACGAAAGCTTTGCCGCGCATGCGCTAGAATCTGGTCGCTGTTGTTGGCATCACGCCAGTGGCAATGCCGATAATGTGTAGGAATGGACGAGGCATTGATTCGCAGATTCGCGGCTGGGATCGTTCAGAAAATCTGTAGCGATACATATCCAGGTTTTCAGGAAGCGATGCAAGCGATGAAAAAGGACGACTATAGACTGGACTGTCAGACCTTGTGTGAGGCTATATAGGTAGGTGCCGAGGGTTACCAGTAACAGCAGATTAAATGATTTGATCATGCCGACGCATGGGCCGTGATTACCAAGTCTGTTGTAGCGTTTTAACTATAACGCTCTTACCACAGAGCAATGAGCAGCACCCGTGGGCCTGCGAGCATGGTTGGTCAAGGATAAATGTAAAACAAGAATCGTTAAATGTACGACTGTAAGGACATACTAGCTAGTTAAAAGAAGCTGTTAAACTTCCAACATTAGTGCTGTCAGACGCGTTCGGGCACACTTGACCCTGACTGTGTAACAGTCATATGCCGTTTTCGCTCAGGTGCCGTTATAGCTTGGTGCCTTTTTTGAAGCATCGTGCCATTTTAGCTAAACATTAACATCACCGGGTATGTTGATATTCTTCCGTTGAGCAACAAGATAGATACCGAACATTAGGAACCAAACATTTGATTTTGTATGGAGACTGGATATTTCTTTTCAGCTGCAATTGCAAAATAAGATATTATTTTCATAATAACGATGAGCCTAAATATATTTGTAAAAGAATATTGAAACAATGTATTTTTATGGGGCAGACCTTTTTGTAACAGACTGAAATTATTTTTTTCAAGCAATTTCTTGGACTTTTTCTATAAAATCCCAGCCGCAAGACTTGAAAGACAGCCCACATCGCATCTTTAACGTAGATGAAAATGGGAAGTGGAACAGCACACCCCACCCCGCATTGTATCATTCAACTACGCCATATGCCGTCCCAAGTCAAGTACCCCGACCATCCTCGGATGTGGTAGCGCTGTAGGAACATCGATACCTATATTTAATATTTTCAAGGGAAAATGTATGCATGAGAAACCAATGGAGGTGTTGTCACATGGAACGACAGGACTAGCCTCAGATTCTGTCCGGTCGAATTCTTATTTTTACGCACACATCCCACCTGTTGCAGCCCATGGATGTCGGCTGTTTCGTGCCGTTTTGAGAACAACGATGGATGCAAGTTCATGCGCGGTCACGTTATGGCCTCACATTCAATTTTTCACTTGGCCTGTCACGCCTACTCATTAGCATTGACTCCAAAGAATCTTCAGGATCCTCCGGGCATGTTGGAGTTATCCTTTCGACACTCTGGCTGTTATGACCTGAACTGGCAAAATAAACCTGACCCCAAACCAAGCACGTCGCCCCCGCATCGAATCCTTTCAGATTTAACAGGTTAGATAAAACTTTGGTTCTATATCTGTTCATTCGATGTCAGGGCGGGGCCATATGTCTTTTATGTGCTCGAAAACCAATTACATGAGGATATATATTGTTCTTTTGATCTCAACACATTCAATGATTCATTTGTGAGGTTTTAGTTGTTTTGATTACCCTTACCAAGGCGGAATAGATGTTGGTGAAAGAGGCCATGCTGTGAGTAAAGAAGGAAAATGACTTCACTCTCACCAACGTGTTTTCTTTAAATACGTGAAACTATGACTTTCTATATATACAATACAACCATAAAAAAACACGAAAAACGAGTCTTTGTTGGATATTTTGAACATAGAAAAGGCTTCACTTTTAGCTTGTGTTGGCAAAACGATGTTCTGTGACATCATGAAGTGGAATGTTTTTTCATGATAATTGCAATATGGGTCAACACAATGGGTGAATCATGAAGGATTGTTAAGTGAATTATCTCCTAACACATGCATGCACTGAGAGTATCCAGATGTTTGTAGTCTTACGGTGGAACAACGTTGTCTACGTAGCCATGTCTAAAACACAATCTATATCTTTAGAGGGTACTTTAACATTAACAGAGGTGAAAGATGTTGACGACAGTTGATAAGCCTTTATAAACACGTGTTTGGACTGATGTCATACTGGGATTGATGTCTTGATGAGGCTGATGTCTTAATGAGGCTGATGTCTTGATGAGGCTGATGACTTGATGATACTGATGTCATGATGCGTCTGATGTCTTGATTCGGCTGATGTCTTGATTCGGCTGATGTCTTGATGCAGCTGATGTCTTGATGCGGCTGATATCTTGATGAGGCTGATGTCGTGATGCGGCTGATGTCTTGATGAGGCTGATGTCTTGATGCAGCTGATGTCTTGATGCGGTGATATCTTGATGAGGCTGATGTCATGGTGTGGCTTATGTCTTGATGCGGCTGATGCCTTTAGGACACTGATGTCTTGATGAGGCTGCTGTCATGATGCGGTTGATGTCATGATGCAGCTGATGTCTTGATGAGGCTGATGTCTTGAGGCGGCTGATGTCTTGATGCGGCTGATGTCATGATGAAGCTAAAGTATTGATGACAATGATGTCATGATGCGGCTGATGACTTGACGCGGCTGATGTCTTGATGAGGCTAATGTCTTGATGACGCTGACGTCTTGATGCGGCTGATGTCATGATGAAGCTAAAGTATTGATGACACTGATGACATTCGCGTCTGATGTCTTGATGCAGCTGATGTCATGATGAAGCTAATGTATTGATGACAATGATGCCATGGTGCGGCTGATGTCTTAATGCGGCTGATGTCTTGATGAGGCTAATGTCTTGATGACGCTGATGTCTTGATGCGGCTGATGTCTTGATGCGGCTGATGTCGTGATGCGGCTGATGTTTTGATGCGGCTGATGTATTGATGCGGCTGACGTCTTTATGCGGCTGATGTCATGATGAAGCTCAAGTATTGATGACAATGATGTCATGATTCGGCTGATGTCTTGATGCGGCTGATGTCTTGATGAGGCTAATGTCTTGATGCGGCTGATGTCTTGATGCGGCTGATGTCATGATGAAGCTAATGTATTGATGACACTGATGTCATGATGAAACTAGTGTATTAATGACACTGATGTCATGATGCGGCTGATGTCTTGATGCGGCTGATGTCATGATGAAGCTAATGTCTTGATGACACCGTGACTGATGTCATGATACGGCTGATGTCATGATGCGGCTGATGTCTTGATGCGGCTTATGTCATGATGAAGCTAATGTATTGATGACACTGGTGTCTTGATGCGGCTGATGTCTTGATGAGGCTTATGTCTTGATGACACTGATGTGATGGTGATGGTGATGTCTTGATGACACTGATGTCTTGGTGAGACTGATGTCATATTAAGGCTGATGTCTTGATGCGGCTGATGTCTTGATGAGGCTGATGTTGTGATGAGGCTGATGTCATAATAAGGCTGATGTCATGATGATGGTGATGTCTTGATGACACTGATGTCTTGATGAGGCTGATGTTGTGATGAGGCTGATATCATGGTGAGGCTGATGTCTTGATGAGGCTGATGTTTTGATGACATTGGTGTCGTTATGCGGCTGATGTCTTGATAAGGCTGAGGTCCACACTCGATTATTTACAGACCGACGTCATGTAGCTGGGATATTGCTGAGTGCGGCGTAAAACATCAAACATTAAACAACCACACACATCCACATCCACACAGAAGAATATTAAGTGGTCGGCCGCCCGTGTCCATAATAATGAGATCAATGGTTCTCTTGGCGAACCCCGAAAATGGAGCCTAAGGAAACCAGCTGTCTAAATTAATGGCCATGCTAAACACACGTAGAGAAGAATGTGTGCTTTGGAATGAGGGAATTAAATTATATAACGGGGACTCAGTAAAAGAATTCCGCAGTGACATTCTTTGCGGTGTGTCCGTTTAAAGAAGTAAGTAAACGGATAGGCGACATGGGTCTCGTGGAGGTTATAATAATATCTGCTGATGTTTTTTTTCAGAACCAAGTCTTTTGTTCCCAAATGTGTGACTCTTCGTGACAGATAATACAGTGAAGAATCAATCAACTTTTGACAGATTGACTGGGTTACCTCTCTCATGGTTACCATGTCACGCTGCTGCCGTCATCTGGGCCATGATCTGGTTGTCCTCGTGGCTGCTTCGTCTGTGCGTCTTCTCTTCTGTGGCTTGTGGTACACACCCGGCATCCTGTACGTCGCCTTCAGGGACGCCTTCCAGCAAAGTGCGGCCGTGACGTCATGGATCACGTCACTCCAGTACTTCACGAGCTGCATAACAGGTACCGTCGTGTGCTGATCGATAATTCTAGTTTGTTCTTTTACGACTCACTCAATAATTGGATGAAAAATCAGTGATTGATATCATGAGCGACGTCCATAGCAACGTTCAATTACAGGCAGTCATTCAAGTCACCAAGCCTGACACCCGATCTATCCTGCTGCCTGGCATGAAAAGCATGGCTTGCCATGGTCGTATTCTAGCCCCGTATCCTAACGGAGGACAATTTTAATGTGAGTCAAGAATGTTCTTCGAAATATTTTCTCTAATCATGAGCTCTGGAACATAGTATTATTATTGCCAACTCTATTCCGACACACAACATCTCTTAACTAAAAAAACAACCCCAAAACACAAATTAAAACATTTCGAGACACGTTTTGTTTCTGTACTTACGATGATCAAAACATATGTAAACCCAGAAGAATGTTCGTGAGCTACGAACCTTTTAATTGTAAGTGATAGTGAGGTAAAATAGTGTTTAACGTTGCGTGATAGATTATTTCACCCATATAGCGACGTGAATGCACCTGTGTGTGTGTGTGTGTGTGTGTGTGTGTGTGTGTGTGTGTGTGTGTGTGTGTGTGTGTGTGTGTGTGTGTGTGTGTGGTATGTTTGTGTAGTGTGTTTTTTCTGAACAGCATACGACCGATCAATATACTTTGGTGACCCTCTTAGGCAAAACATTTGATGACTTCTCTATACTCGATGTCAATTATCAGCAAGTCATTTGATTGAAGCATGCCCAATTGTGAAACCAGACCCAACAAACATATGGCTGTACTAATTTATGTGCCAGGCATAATATTTTCTCCTGTCCCCTCTTTCCTCTTCGACCAAAGCAATATCAATCATATTCAACCCATGGAATCTGCCCCGTTTTAGGTGCAGTTGGAGGTTTGGTGATGCATCGTTTCGGCAGTCGACTGGTCACCGTGACAGGAGGGATCATCCTGTCTGGTGGACTGCTGACCAGTATGTGGACCACTCACATCGCTCACTTGTTCGTCACATATGGAATGCTCGCGGGTACGATTCGCCACTGACTGTGGATTTTTAAATCATATCAAGCAAATAATTGTCTCCTATGAACTGTGAATGACTTAAAAAAAAAACGAAAAAAATTCATAAACCATCAAGTACGTTAAAATTATATCCGATTTCTTACATGTCGAAATTTACTTTAACTTTGAATCAAACCTCTCAATCTACACTGATCTAATTTTGTTTTCACATTGTTCTTATGGTCCTATAGATTACATTTACAAATGTGCAGACTACTACACCCCGAGTTTGAGTACTGATAATCGCAATTTTCAATACAGGGTTTGGAGCAGGTCTGTGTTATATCGGGTGCTTGGAAGCTGTGAAAGAAATGTTCACCACTAACGTTAACTTGGTGTTCGGGGTGAGTGCATTTATTGCCAACTTAGGGATCATGATCTACCCACCTGTGCTGCAGCTCCTCATTGATATCTTCTCCTGGAGAGGAATGTTCCTCATTCTGGCAGGAGTGGAACTCAACATCATTGTCATTGCTGCAGTATTTCCAGGACCCCATATACGTCCACAAGTAGAGACACCCATAGCACAGGAGACAGACGAATCGAACAGACATGGAGATACTGGTTCAGAGATAAATGATGGGAAGACTGATTCATTATTACATGGTATCTCACCAAAAACAGAAAAGACAGTTGCACTGAAAGATATAAGTTTGCAAACAACCTTTCTCGAAAATCATTACTTTTTAAAGAGTCGACATTATTACCTATACGTACTGAGTGGTACCTTGTATCTCTTTGGGGCTGGAATTATACTGGGACATTTGTCAGCCTATGCCATGGAGAATAACATTACAGATAGCTATGGAGCTGCAATGCTGTATACCGTCAACGCATTATCAATGGCATGTGGTAAATTGCTTCACGGAGTTGTGATAACGAAAATCAGAATGAACCCTATCAAACTCCATATATTTGTGTGTGGAATAGGTGGTTTGGCAACGTTTCTATTCTTGTTCAATGTTCCTCTTCCTGTTCTATACGCCTATATGGTAGTGTTTGGAGCGAGTAATGCTAGCATAGGTGGCGCACTCATGCCATCCATACTGCTGGAGATGGCAGGCTCCGACAGCTTCTCCTTCTCTGTTGGCTTTTACACAGTGATCACAGCTATGGGATCTCTCATAGGAGCTCCAACGGCAGGTGAGATAGTAAAAGAGGCTTTCTGAAGTCTATTTCAACCTTGAATCCCAACGGAACAAAAACAGTTGTTGAAGTAAATTTTAAACAAAAGATTTGAAACTGCATATGTACGTTACCGAGATAGTAAGTAACACCGAGAATAGTCTAGAAACATATTTAAAACATTCATCAGGACTAACTCAAGGAAAAACTAAACAATATGTCGAAATGTATGAGGTGAACTCGTCCGGTAACATTCTAGCATAGGGTACACATTAGTTTCTATGTAAAGGGGTTAACTCTCAGGATCGGATGTGTTTACTTACAGTACAGAATGACACAGCCGTACTTCAACAATATGTATGCAACGTTTGAATCATTTCCAGAGACATTTTACTTCTTCTTTGACTTCGTCACTATGCACCATAATCAATCTTTATGTGTTTCTCCACAGGTTGGATATATGATGCCACCAGTTCTTACACAACCCCGTTCCTGCTTGCAGCCATTTCAATGATATCATCAGCCTTTGTCATGGTGACATCGTGTCAGTTCAAGCCGAACCAGGCAACCACTACAGGGGGGGTTTAGCATATATCATTTCACAAAGGTTATTATATGTCCCTCAATAATTACACTATTGCCGCCATCATGAGGTTAATGTTCACTCGGTGTACATGTAATATATAATAAAATAATAAAGTCCACGTTAGTCCATCATCTTCTTTATATCAGTTTCAGACATAGTACTATATGCTATATATAACATGAAGGATACACTATTAGTATCTTACCTTGCGTTACAGTTTGAGAATCATATGAGTTACAAGATCTGAGTAATGATTCCATTCAATCAACATAAACAACCACTGAAAAGAAGAAATACATGTTGAGTGACAGTATCGTCAGGTTGAAAGTACATGTGTCAAACATATAACTGTTGCATCTTTATTCTATTGTTATAAATACCCTGGGCTCATTCAGTTTGAACGTTATTTGAAAGAAACACTGCTATGTATAGCTGTGCGATTAGATTGCACTCATTAGTGAGAGATATCCTTTCCCAATTTCGCGATAAGAGATACTTCCGAAACGAAGGTTTGGTGGCGAATCATTCCAGGGCATTATAGTTAACTACGGTTACAACGAACTCACAGGGACTACTATTCTTAGTTCGCTATAACCGTAGTTCGTTATAAGTATATATAAGTGTAACTACAACAAATAGTCGGGTCCAAAAAAGTAAGTTCGTTATATCCGTCAGTTCGTTATGAGCTTGTTCCTTATAACCGTAGTTTACTGTAGTCACAAAATCTTTTAGAAAGTGAAGTGGAGGGACTGGTGTTCCGTAAGTCATATCTGAGTGTGGTGGCAGTCACCAGTGATGACGTCTCCCTAATTCTTCGGTTCTTCGGTTAGCAAACAACGTCTTTGATGCAAATTATGTTGTGCTCTCTGATCATGTTTTGCAACGATTCTATCACCATATACCACACAGATTTTCAAGCACTTCGTGCACCACGTGTCATGACTGAACGCCCTTGTCCGTTCATCATGAAAATGAGACCTTTTTGGAGTTACCCGAACATTGTGTACAACAATATATCCATTTTTAGTAGTTGGATAATAATTTTATATCATCAAAATTTGATCCTGTGAGTGAGTGAGTGAGTATGGTTTTACGCCGCTTTTAGCAATATTCCAGCAATATCAAGGCGGGGGACACCAGAAATGATCCTAAGTGAAATACAGGCTGTGGTGCACAGACTTGTTACAGACAGGCAAAGGACAAAGAAAATCCTATCTGTTACTTGCGCAACGTCTATCCACTCCAACTCCATCTCACCTGACTGCTTCGGTAATGTCTCGCCTTCACTGACAAGAAAGTGGTTACGCCACGTAGGGTTCAACCTTGTCCTGTATTTCAAGGTTTTCCATTCTGTCTGCACAGAAGACAACTGAGTGGAGAAACGCCTGACTGTAACCATCTAGGCACGTTAGTGTAAGACTGACACATCCTGGTGATTATGGCAGTGACGAACTCTGCACCAGCCGTAAAGGCTAGTTGTACGTTGAGGTAGATACTGAGACAGGTCAGGTTGTTGAGGGCAGATGCCATTATATCTATGAGAAGCACGTGGAACAGGAAAAAGGACAATAACAGGATGGAGCACAAGTTGAGCCTCTCACCTGAGTTTGGTGGAACCAGATCAGCTGATGCAGTAAGTAGAGAGAGCAGCATAGCCGGCAGAAGGATGGTTAGAACGTAGAAGGTTGCTCACCGTTGCAGCACAAGCTGAAACTCTATTTCGTTTGATGGTACACTTAGAAGTGTTCCACCTGTCACTAATGTCGACTGGAGTAACCATTGTCCATTACTCGCAACATTTGTGAACAATGTTGTCTCTTTAATGGCTGACAATTTCACGTCGTCATTCATTATTTCTCCTGCGGATAGCATCATTAAACATGTCTGTGTTTAAAGGGGAAGAAAGTTAAATCAGCGTTACATGATGTCTTAAATACGTCCTCCACAAACCAGAGGATGAGACCCCAATGACCCACACTGACGAACCTGTCAGCATAACTGGTTATCCTTCTATCCCAACATAATTCCTGATACACACACCGGTAACTACAGATGATTCTGCTTCACATCACATGATCAAGGCCGTTATATTCTTCAGGTTTCCATCTTAAAGACCATCAGACCACGAGACCTTGAGCTGACCATGAAGGACCATCGCCTTATCCTTCTCATCCAGACCCTGCAAGCTATCCAGGCTTAGTGTTACTGATACGTCTAGAATAGAGTTGGTGTCATTCACTGGTCGCTGGTCTGGGTTGTAGCTTGTGAAGAGAGATGACATCAGCAGCTTCACACCGTGGACACTAGCAACAATATTGAAAGTTCATGTTGTTAAAAAAATCTGGGCGAAATTAGAAATTGTCTCGTTTCTTATTTAAAGTGTCATGCCCCAGGGTTTTTCATCCTGTTTCAAAATATGTAACTGATTTAATTTGTTGGCTACCACAAAGCGTATAGTGAACATGGTCACTATATGTTTGTTCCACCGCTGTAGGCGTGACTACGTCATGCATGGCTGTTCAGCAGGTGAACTACTTACTATGAGAACCTCAGGCCAGACATTATGAGGGACATTCTTTCACAGCTATGACTTATGCTATCACAACACGATGACTATTTTCGAGCGTTATACCGTCATAAGCTTAAGGGGACATCAATTTCCCACGCATGTCCTGAACCAAACATTCTCAATGTAATTTCTTATACATATAAACATATACATTCTTATCACATCTCCAGTAATGTATTTGACCTGAATAGTCTTAACAGTTTCTACGTGGTTCAGTTTTATCGTATACTGTTTCGCTAAACGTCAATCCCTGAGCAGATAGTACTACCGGTACTATAGCTGCCACATCTACTTCTCGTGCTACAATGTGGAGATGCTGGAGCAGAATGTGTCGATTAAGAGGAAGAATCCAGCATCTATAACCTTATTCTGCCGTGATTAAGCTGCAACATTTCTACTGCGGCGTCAAACACCATTCACCACGAATCACACCGATTAGTAAATCAATGATATTGTCATACATCTACTCTTTTATGTTTATATATTTACAATGTGCATACATATTTCCATAACTTATTAGCATAAAGAAATATTAAGTTAGAAGTTAAATCATTAAAGTAAAACAGTATCGTTGGCGCACTGACGTCACACAATAAAATTATATCATTTTTTAACAGCTTGACCTGTCCGTCTTTTGTGACATTGTCCGCCATTTAAATACCCCATTCAGACACAGTATACTGACTCCGAACCGACCGGTCCTTGTTATAGTAGTAATGCCGAGCGCTAGGCAGGGTAACAACAAGTACCGGATACCTTTTAATTTTCCCAATTGCTCGAAAGTTTTAGATTGTGTGCAATTGCACTGTGCAGCAAATATATGCAAGAAGGCCCGCACCTTTACCTGTATAACAACCGACACGTAGTTGACGGACAAAACTGGCGGATAATGCGTCACGTTGGATTTTCTAATTGGTCTGAATTTTATCGACAGATGGCTACAGGTTAATTGCTATTTTGAAAAATGAAATAACAATTATACAGCAATATGGCCATGTCTACGGTTGATATACCTGTTGTTTAAGGTGACATAAATGGCAGCCCTCATGACCAAATAGGGCCGTGAGTATAATTTTACGCCGCGCTTGATACTATTCCAACCGTATCATGACTGGAAACACCGGAAATTGGTTTCAAACACTGTGCCATGCCGAGCAAACGCTTTAGCCAATATCCAACCATCTTCTAGAGGCAAGGGAGTTAACTGACCATAAATGTCCAGTTTCCACCCTTGCCAAACGAGACCAGAATTATGGAGTTGAATCTTGGTTGGACTGTAGAGTCTATGCATAGTCCATTTGAATTCGCGTAACGAAATCGACATCCGGCTCGGTCGATTGCAGGATTTGCAAAGCATGAGTACTGCTAACTCGGCGGCAACAGATATTTTCCAAATATTTTCATGTTTTTGATCAAGTGTATACATGATTTGATGCACTTTGCAAAGTAAGACCCGTTTTATTACATTATTGTTCTTGATTATTGGTCAGACTGTCCTGACTGGGCACCGCCCTTTTGCCTTTGAAGCAAATGCAAGTGATATGAAAAGTCTGATTGGTCAGTTGGAGGGGCATAGAAGGGACGTAACTCATAATGGTCGCTGGTCGTGCAACGATCGAGCCCAGAAATTCTAGCGCAGTTCGGCAAGGGTGGAAACTGGACGTTTACAATCAATTATGGGTGACATTGGTGAGGAGGCAAAAATGAGTTCAAGATTATTGCACCGATATAGCGACATGGTGAGAACCTCCGGCGGGGGAATACAATCTGACAAGGACTTGATCTACGGTTTAATAAATAATGAAATCGGGTATTATTAATTAACCTGTCCTGGTTATCCAGACATATGCATGATATCACTGCTCTTAGCACCCGCTGCAATAAGCAGCGTCGTTGCGTCGTTGTTAATAAATCTTTCTACTTTTCTTATGATGTACTGCAGAGCCGGCTTTTAAGACGAGGGACTCATTGTCTCATTTCCTTTACATTTTCACCTTCCACGGGCTGGACCTGTTATCCTTAAATCTGCCTCGTGTGACCAGGTACCACAACGATAAAGTGCTGAGATAGCGATTGTGTTGGTACTACACTTTTAGGGTGTGCCGTTGGTGTGCTTGAGTGGTTATCAGAGCGATGTGTTCCAAAGAATCCCGAATGTTACTGTACTCGAGTCCTTGTCAATTTGTATGACATATCAAGCGTGAGAAAAGGCTTCCTTTAGAAATATCGATAATCTCCTATCTTTCAGTTTTCCTCATGTACAAATAGTTCCTCTCGCCTTCTTTAGCATGCCTGTCTTAATGGCGTTATATATGGATACAGTAACGTCACTCTCAAGTCTCATTCTTTTTATCCGTTCACTAAGCCATTTGAGATGAAATTGTCACAGTGTATATGACTCGCAGATTTCCAACAAACTAAAAAGATGTTGGTTATTAAGCACGTCAAGCACGACAGTGGGCCCGTGTGGCCTTCAGTTTGAAATGTGAATTCGTCTGATGACATTCATG